TTTTCTGTTTTTCTTTGGTGGAGTCTTCTTTTTTCTTTTCTGCAATAGTTTAGAGACACAATCAAGTAAGTAGTCACTGGTGTCTGTGGGAACTGAAGAAGTGCAAGCGTAGCTTTGTCCTTGTTTCCTCTGTTACGCTCAGATCAGACATGGAGAAGAATGATCTCGTGAACTTCACATGGCTTTTATCTCCATCCCCATGCTGAGTGCATCCCTAGGGCATTGCTCTAAGAGCTGCTTGCAGCTCAGGCCCACAGCAGATACTTCTTGTGCTGGGGTCTTGGCCCAGGAACTGGTGACCTGAGTGCTGCTCAAGGCTGCCACTGAGAGGGAAGGAAGGGGGAATGAAAGTAAGGGCAAACAGTGGACAGGACAAAAGTACTTGTTAGTTTTAGATTTGTAGGCTCCTGACACGTCTGTTGGCTGGCCCGAAAAAAGCTATGCTCAACTCTTGCAATTGCTGCTGCTGCTGGCTGGTACCCAGACCAGAGCCTGGTGAAACATCCAGTCCCTCACTTCCAGCCTCAAGCCCATACCTCAGCTAAATGTCCGCACTGCACCAGTGAGTCTCTCAGTCTGCCACGTGCCTCTCGTGGCTGTGGAGGATTTGCCCTGGTCACACTGTGTGTATGGGATGGGTCAGATCTTTCCTGGCATTTTAAGGAGGTGCCTTGCCAGTGTTCTCCCCTCTGGTGCAGACAGGTGTGAACACCTGACAAGCTTTGACCTTTGAAGGTGGTGGTTGTGCAACATAATGCAGCTGCCAGAAGTGTTCATGTTAAGCAGCTATGGCCTCAACTATCTGAGGAATGCCCAGTGTTGCTAGCACTCCTTATTAAGGGAGAGCTCTATTTTTAAATAGTTAATACTGAGAGGCAGCACTACCTATATGCTGCAGGTTTAGCATTTTCAGAACCCTGTCCGTTTCAAAACAAAAGGAAGATGGAAGTTCTCGGAACATGGAAAAGTTCAGGCTCAGGTTCTATTTTTCATATCCCTGCAATCCTTGCTAGTTTGGATTTTAAAAACCTTAAATCACTTTTAGCTTTCTGCATTCAGATCTCTCCATCAGCCCCAGTGGACACCACCTCAGATTACCTCCCACTCTCACTGCCCAAGTCTACACACTGTTTTGCCTTCTCAGATGCTGTTTTCCATGCTCCAATTAGATTAAGGGCTTGCCTGCACAGGAAAACTGCACGACTATTCATTTGCAGTTTGTCTTAAAGGAATTATGTTAAGCCTGGGCAAAAGGCCATGTGGATAACCTGGTATTCCTTTGCAGGAATATAAATGGCTTATTTCAAGTTAGATCAGGTCGATCAGGAAGAACTTGCAAAGCTACACCAGAACAAAGAGAGTCCAGCACTTTCTACTGTGGATTGTGCCCTCCCAATGGGAAGAAATGGCATGTCAGGGTCTTCACCTCAGCAGAAGACAGAATGCATGGAACAGAGGTTAAATACTTAAAAACACAGCCTTTACAAAATCGATAAATAAGATTATAGTCTTGCCCAATATGAAAAAAATCATACATATCCACTTATTGCCCCTCTTTGATCGCTCTGTGAATGCCTGGCCTGTACTGGGTTATGAACAACTTGCAGTTTTACAAGTCATCTTTCTCCTGTTGGCGGGGTCAAAGTAACAGGAGATGAAGGAAGATGAAATGAGGCAGACTTCAGCAGCAGGGGAAAAAAACAAAAAACAAACAAACAAACAAAAAAAAAAAACAAACCAAGAGGCACATGAGTGAATCCTGGATGCTGTGCATTCTCATTTTGAACTGGTTTGAACTGGTAAGCTAGCAATTATCTAAATCCAAATAGGCACCCAGTCAAGACGGCTCCTATATTAAGCAGCATTAATATTATGCTTTGAAGAAGGCACTAGTGCTTCTTCATATGGTTTCTGTAAACTTCTTTCTCTTCCAATTACCCTTTCTAAATGCCTCGAGGGCCCACGAGCCAAACACAGTGCTGGTCTTCAAGAGAAAGGGCGAAGGTTCCCTTCCCCACGTGTGTCCCTCGGCCACTGAGGGGTTTCCAACAGCCGGGAGGGAGTGAAAGCGGTACAGAGATTTATAACGATAACTGGAAAGATTCGTATAGGTGTGAGGAGTGGAGAGGCCTGCGGGTGGAAGCCCCAGTGGGAGCGCCCAGCAGAAAGGGCTCTGAATGCCTGTGTTAATGACACCTGATTAGCAGGTCATCGAGCCCCCGGGCATCTGCCCGCTGCTTCACAAAGACGGATTTGGAGACAAAGAAGAGTGGTTAGTCCCGATGGCTCCCCGAGCCGTGGCTGCATGGAGATACTGTCAGCTCTGAAAAGACACGAAAGGATGTCCAAACCTTGTTCGCGGCAACCAAGCATGAGAATTCACCCAGGAGTCATGAGGATTTTGACAGATGGCGTCCTTTCTCCTCCTTCGCAACAGATCTGGACATAATCTTAATGGTGGTGGGGTTTGAGTGGCTGGAGTGCACCGGCTTGTGGCTGGACTTCTTGGGCACCGCACACTTAGCGTCAGTTTTGTTTCAGTTCTTACTTTTGCCTCTTCAAGTTTCCTCGCATCCCTGATATTTTCTACAAGTGTTGCAACAGTATTTCCTATAGAAAGAGCATTAAAAAAGAGCGTTCAGCTGCATAATTCAGTCTTCTCTCTCGTGATTGCTGCGGAGGGAAAAGTCATAGTTCTTTTTACGTTAGGAGAAAACTCTTTTTCTAACTGTGTCTTTTTTTTTCTTCCCAGATGAGTTCTTCAAAGACCTCCCTCCCTCCCTTTTGCTCGCTTTGGCCAGCTGTGCAGCTGATGTAGCTGGTGTTCTGGTCCACTCCGTTGCAAGAGGTTATAACGCTTAGGCTTCAGTTCGCAATCACACCCCTTGCAGCTAACACATCTTGTAAGTTAGAGGGGAGGTGAGACACCCAGTCCATCACGCTGCCTTAAGATTAGGAATGTCCCTTTACTCCGCATGGATGCTCTCAAACTGGATCTCCAGAACAACTGCATTCCTAAGCTGGGGGAGGGCTCCCAACCCCAGCAGGAACTGCTCTCTCCTAAGAGGCAGGGAAGCAGGAGCTGCTGTCTGTTCTTAGATCGACTTCCTGGCCATACAGCCCTTTGTCTAAGAGATGGCATGGTGCTTCTGTTCAGCTCAAAGGAGTGGCTGCATGGCTTCTTGTTGTGTGGCACTTCTCTTTACGCTAACATAATTTTCCTTGTACTATAAGCTCATTGTTTTTTAGACTACTCATAGTAAACGGGAAGAGTTGCTTATTTCCTTCCTCTCTGCAGCTTTGTTTTGTATATTTGTGTAATGGCATCTTCTCAGACTTTTCAAGACTAAATTATTCTTCATAGACCTTTATAGTCCACATCTTCTGAACTTCCAACAGAGCAGTAGCTGTACACTTCCCTGGAAATAGTGTTTATGAATTGACCTGACTAACAGGCATGGATACTGAGACTTTTGTCCTCACAGGTTAGATGCCACAGTGGTAGGTGTAGTGAGAACTCCATACCTAACTTCTGATCTGGAACATCTCTAGAGGCACAAATAATATGTGCTGTTGAAGTTTACCTAAGTGTTTGGGGTTTCCTCTAAAGTCGTTAGCCTCTAGGCTGTTTCAGACTATTATGATTTGTCTGTGCCAGATGTGGTAGTGTTTTTGTGATACAGACAAAACATCCCAGTAGCAACAGTGGTAACCAACACATTTTGCACAAATTACCAACTCTCTGGAGGCAGAACATTCGTTCAGGCAAGGCTCATTTTATCAGCTGTAGATGGCTATAGATAAAGGCTCTCTAGCCTAGCTAGAGCCCAGGACAAGGTTACAGCCACTGGAAAGAAAAATCACACTCTGATGAATCATCTCATCCTAAGGTAGATACCTAAACCAGATCAGATAAGACATACCTTAGTCAAGTGTCAACGGTGCAGCAGATGACAAGATAGACATCTAAAATTAGATGAGCTGAAAGTCACATGTTGAGTTCATTAAATTGATGATGTATAGGTCAGAAGCACCACTTCCTGTTAGGAATCCTCAGAGCACACCTTTTGCCTTTAATTTACGGACACCTTGGAACAATAAAGATACAATGGCTTCTGAGAGATGTATCAAGGTCTGATGGCCAAGACTTTCACTAATTTTGAAAATGGAAAGCAATGTCTTCATTTTTAACTAAGTATTTTAATACTTACAAAACTTAACAATAAACATTTTTCAGAACAGGAGTAGTTGCTTTTCCACTTTTGCTCATGCCAGCATGTGGAATTGAAAAAGCAAACACTTGGATTAGGAAACGCCATGGCTAAAATAATGACATTCTGCAGAGAGGAATTTTGGGGTTGTATTCATTTGATACAGTTGAACTCTAAAGATTTATCTTGGAGAGTCTTTGCAAAATGTGCACTTGAAAATATTATTTTTACTACCATTGAATTGTCTCCATTTTCTTCCTCTCATTTTTATTCCTTAGTTAATAGTTTATAATTAAGAAAAAAACCTTCTTGTGATACCAAAGCACATCTCCTGTCCCACTGCTGTGCAAATGCACATACAACCACTTGTTTGTTTGTACTTTTACAGGTGTTGGTTGGTTCTGTGCAGATACGGAATGTGGTTAAAGTTTTATAATGGAAAATCTGACAGGCAGTTAATTAGTCCATGAGTCATATTTCGTAAGTGCCTAAAGGTCTCTGATGTTCGACCTTCATTTGATACCCTTGCCATCACGGAGTTATACATAACCCATCTGAAGAACATTCTTTATATAGATGGCTGCATGCTGCCCTTTTATACCTGCAAGAATGAGCATTGCACTTACTGAAACAGGGAAGTCAACTGCCTGCCTTTCCACCCCTCTCTCTCTGTGGCTGTTTGCAGAACTGCAGAGATACATTCAGGAAACTGACTTAAATGACAGCAGTGGAAGACTTCCTGCTTAGTTTAAGTCCTCTGAAGGGCCTACCTGAAAGGTAAGGAGAGGGGTGGGGAGCTGTTTTTGGGTTCTATTTGTCTTTATTTTGAAGGATTTAATCTCTAATAATGTATGTAGCATTGGTGCTACCAATACTAACAGAATTCTGGTGTTTTTACCTGTCCGTAGCTCAGTTGGGCTTAAGGCAGGCCAGGCAGATATGGAATGAGACAACCTTTTGTCAGATGGTCCCAAATGGGAAACACACCTTTACTGACGAAAGTGGAAGTTTACCAGCCTTAGCAGTGTCAAGGTGTTTATAGAAAGTCTTATGATGTGTAGAGGGCCCTTCTGGAGAACCTACTACTTTATTCCTCAGCCAAAGGATGGAAAAGCACTGTTTGCTTTTTTGAGTACCATAAAGTTGTTGTGGTTCAGAACTTCTCAAGTTGCCCAGTATGACAGTAAAGAATATTGGCATTGCTGTTATTTTCGAAGCTAAAATAAGGCAGACACATGACTTCAGCAAGCGCATGTGAAGTTTGCACATCATAAGTCATTGCAATAAAGAAACCAAAACAAAATCCTAGAGTGTTGTTAAAGCTGGAATATGTTTTCCATTAAAAAAAAAAAAAATTCCTTTAGATTTGATTTGGCTTCTTTTTCCACACCTATGGAACTGTAGAGTATCTCAGGAATATTAGCACACTGCCTTTGCAAGACAGAAAGTTCCAATCTTCATGAATGGACCCAAGTATAAAGTATAACAGAAGGTTATCTTATTTTTTCAAACACTCCAGCAACAGCAGCTTTTACTGCACTGCCAAATACTAGGCAACAATTAGAACAGCTGGGAAGACAAATCAGAAAAAAAGAAAGCGGAGGAAAAGAGCGGTGTCCCAAGCTTTTACTTTGGCTGCCATTTTAAGAAGCGCGCCCTTTGGCCAATGACCATTTTGTAATTGTGTTTTAAGATCACAGCAGACGTTAGGGATGATGTTTGTGCAGCATGCGAGCTCCTTGCTGTGTGCTGAGAACTGCCCAGTGAGGGTCTGGCACAGTGGGAGGGGAAAGATATACACAGCCTGCCTGCAGGCACCAGCGTGGAGGTTAGTCATCTGCTGAGTCAATGGGAGACACCAGCACCTCCAAAGGGTGCTTCTGCCTACTTGTCATCTAAAGTTAGACAGCTAACGTTGGTTGCTAAAAAGGAGCTGAGATGAGGGAAAGGGTTTCACAGCAGATGTATCTGCCTGTATGTGTGTTAGCAATTCTACCTCTTCACGCATCTCTATGCATTTGCATAGAGAATGATTCCTGGCTGGTATTTTCAAGAAGTGAATTCCCACTTACCAGAACATGATAATAGCTTGCGTTCCTTATTTACAGAGGTCTAGCTGTACAAGTATTGACTTGTCAGTCACAAATTCTTGCAACAATCAGGAAGAGTTAGGGATTTTCCAACCTTGCAAATAGCTTTCCAAGAAAGTCATCAGAAACAGTTGGATAAACACACAGTGCAACTTGTAAAACTCCAGGCAAACTGACAGCACAGTCAGAATTAGAATCAGTCTGAGCTTTTTTTCTGATGTGATGCTGGTCATGTAACTAGTGTTGAGATAAATCTGGTTGTATGGGAACTGCTGAATCACGGCCTGAACCTCTGATTGATCACCTGAGGTGAGCGCTGAGTCAGCCACAGAGCCCAGGTGAAGGCAATTCAGCTGTGCGATCAGAAGGGGTGGAGCCTGGCTGCACCTCTCCTAGACCCCATTTAAGGACTGACTGCCACCAAGGAAGGATCTGTGTCTGGAGGTTGCTCCAGACTCCTGTGGAGTTTCTTGTGAGCCTACAATGTTGGTGAGCACTTTTCATTTATCTCATTATCTTTTCCCATGTGATAATCTTACCAGCCTAACTTCTCTGCATGCTTATTGATCATACAATGCTATACAGCATCTATATATTTACTGATCTTACACCTGGTGCAAGCAGCATACCCTAAACTCTAGGAGCCTTCAGTTTGGAGGGCTTTTTGTCGTGTTCTACTCTGTCCCAGGCCACAGCTTTGTAATGTCTGAAAGTGTGCTGAAGGATTTGTGTTGGTATCGTTTGGGGTTCCTGCAGAAAGAAGGGCCCAGCTACACAAATCCTATCAGCAGAGTAGGCCTTTTTGAGACAAATGCAACATAATAAAATGCACTGCAACACTTGTCTGGTGGCCTGAGGCACTGCTTTCCCCATTTGGCCTGCAGTATCCACTGGAGTCAGTGTAATGATCTCCAGCAGTTTATCCTGGCTTTGGATCATGGTATTCATAGCAAACGTTTGTTTCTGAGTGCCAAGAAGATAGAGGAGCTGTGCTGTACAACTGTTCCACAACACATTGCACTCTTATTTTGGCTGGCTCTTTTGTATTTAAAAAAATGTTTTTCTTTATAAAGAGTCATTTTCTTACTTCAGTCTCAAGAGAATTTTCTATTCTGTCCATCCTTCCTCTTTTTATTACAGCATTTGCTATAATTGTTAAATTGTAAGAACATCGTTACATAGTTCTCTTTTTCTCTTAACTATTCCTTGCACTGAGAATTAAAAGAAAATATACATTTTTAGTTCTGTGTGTAGCTCCACTGGCTTACTTTCATGTTTTGATAGTGCTTTTCAGGCTCTCAGCTTGCCCTTATTCTCCTTGATTCTTGATTCACTGAGCTTGCATAGAGACTGATGCTGCAGCAGGGTGAAGTAAAGCACTGAAAAATCAGTTAAGAACTGTGACAAAAGAATAGGCATTGCCCCAGGGACTAATATACTAAAACATCTTGAAAAACTTCTGAAAAACAGACCAGTTTTGAGTTGACAGTGTCCTTTTAAGAACAGTTTATGCTGAAAGGTCCTGTGACCAAGTTGCTTGGCTAAGCATTGCTTGGCTAAGCACAAGTGTTCATGATTTTTTTGAAATATAAAACATTTAACAGACAAAAATCACAGAATGGCCAGGGTTGGAAGGGACCTCAAGGGTCATGAATCTCCAACCCCCTGCCACATGCAGGGCCACCAACTTCTCCGATATCTCACAGTCACTGTGTACAATTTCTGTGATCCCTTATCCAGATTTATAATGATCACTTGCTATGCCGGCAGAACTTAAAATGTTGTGGTTTTGTCTTTAATGCTATAATTAAAAACAGGATGATTTTTTGTGGGACTAGAATAATCTGTAATTCTTTTGAGAGCTCAGTCTTTTAAGCAGCCTTATCTAAGATACAATCTTTACTGACCTAAGCGTGCAGATACGTTTTTTTACACTTACTGACATCTTCACTGAGGAATTATACGCTCTTAGGGTTATTTCAACCTGATATCTTAAGATATTTAACTCTCACTAGTTCTTCACACTTCGTGGATGAATGGATGTTCCTTATTGTACAACAAAAAGACCAGTCTGGCATTCCTTATATTTTCAACAGGGCGTACTATGTGTTACAGCAGTACTCAGTGAGGAGTAATTATAGGGAACAGTAGGAAGTTAGCTCTTCAAATGGGAATTTCTTTGCATTGGAATACTTACCTATTTTGATGTCTAATGTTTAATTAGCACTATTCTTCTACAAATTTCTGCCATGCAGAAACTTTTAAGTCGCTCTTAAAAGTTTTGTTCTGAAAATGGTGCATGTAAGGTATTTGAATCTTGAACCTGGTTTGTCTAGTAGTACTAATGACCTGGGGCAGACAGTGTTTAGATGGTAGCAAGCACCATGGTGGCACTTAGTAAATAATGAAATAAATCATGGACTTTGTTTCTGTTTAAACAGCGTGCTTACTCTCTTTGTATACCAGTCTTCTGGATCCTGCTCAACAGCCTCATTTGGATGAAACTGGATACTGTGCCAATTTTATTCCAGCTCCATTAATGTATGGCAACAATACAGACAATGCATTGGCTGACAAAGAACTCCTACTCCTCCTCTGGATTAATGTGGCGAGGTTTTTGCAGTGGGGTGGCCTGCAAGAAGCCCAGCAGCTGCCCCATGTCAGATAACAGCCCTTGTAGGAGCAGCTCAGGCCTGAGCTGCAGCCCATGGAGAGCGATGTGCAGAGGGGCAGGAGGGCAGAGGGAGCTGCTGCCCGTGGGGAGCTGTGTGGAGCAGTGCCTGAAGGGTAGACTACATTGTACAGAGCTTGGTACGGTGTTGGAACAGTGCTGGGAGTGCTGCAGCGTGTGGAAAGCCCATGTGGGATCAGACCAGAAAGGATGACATCTCGTGGGAGGGATCCACAAAGAGCAGAAGTAGAGAGTGACCATGGAGGAGCAGAAGAAATGAAGCTTTATGGATTGACCATAGCCCCCTTTCCCTGTTCCCCTGCGCTCATTGAGGGAAGGAAGTAGAAGTTGAGCCTGAAAAAAGGTGAGAGATGTTTTCAGTCTGTTTTTATTTCTTGGTGCCCTATTAATAATAGGCCATAAATATAATTAATCTTCCCCAAGTAGCCTATTTTGCTTGTGATAGTAATCACTGAATGTTGTCCCTGTCTTTCCCTCAAATCCATGAGCTCTTCCATTGTATTTTCTCTTTCTGAAGAGAAGTGAGAGAGCAGCTTGATGGGCACCTAGTGACTTGCCAATGTTATCCTACCACAAAACAGTAAAATCCCAAGTCCTTGAGCCTGCACTAACAGTATAGAATCGTAGAATCACAAGATTGGAAAGGACCTACAAGATCATCCATTCCAACCTTCCTCCCATCACCACTGCTACCACAAGCCACTGAACCATGTCTCGTAGCTTCTCATCCAGAACATTGCCAGGGACAGAGACTCTGTTCCTCCCTGGGCAGGCCATTCCAGTGCCTGGCCTCTCTCTGAGAGAAAAAGTTTTTTCTTATGTATCCACCAGGACTTCTAGTTTATGTACAAGTAGATGAGTAAGGTAGAAAAGGAAAGTGATGAATGCATTCAAGGCAACAATTACAGCACATAGGAACCATTGTGTCTAACTCACTGCCCTGCTCTGGACTGTGAGATGTATTCTGAAAATGCAGTTACTGTACCAGTGATGGATGGGGTACCCAAGCACATGAGAGCCAATGTGAATTGGTGGTGTGAAGAAAACTCACGCTAATTAACTGTTATAAAGTACAGAGTGGAGAGAAATTGGAAGAGTAAGTGTTAACTGCGCTCTACAGTGTTGGCCTTCCAGAACCACCTGCAGGTGCAGAAGCGGAGGGTGGACGTGCTGTAGAGGGGAGCTGTGGGCTTCCCTTAGAAGAGCTTGAGAGCATTTCAGCAACCCCAGTGTAAGAGATGTCCCAGGGAAATCATACTGCAGCTGACTGCCTAGATTGCATATGTTTTTAATAGAAACATTGAAAATTGTTTCAAGATTGAGGCGTGTACATGTTAAATGTTGAGTATGAGCTGAGGAACACATAGAACTGTACTAAATTGGTTTCTTGTACAGGCTGACAAAACACTCACGGTGCATCCTAGTCCCAAGTGCTCCCATAAAAGCCCGGGTATCCTTGTACTCTCCAACTGTCAAATCAATCTTAAACCTTTAAGTGAGGTTGCTTAACTCTCAGTCTGATTCAATCACTTTTCCATCATGAATTGGCAAAGCTGAGAAATACTTTGTGGCTAGCTTCAGTGTATTTTATATCTGTGATATCTGTACTTTTTAATTTTCAGTGTATAACTGATAAAATAATAATCCCCATATGCATTTATTGTGGAATAATAATACTTACAGGAATCAAAAGATTAGTACTATATGTCATCTTTATTGCAGAAGGAATTACACTGAGGAGCCCTGAGGTGGCCCGGAGAACAGGAAGGGACAACATTCAAAACTCCAGCAACCAGTGAAACAGGAATTAAGATATTACTCACCGAAGCCTCTACAAAACCAGACTAAAATGCAGTCGAAAGCCTTTGCCAACTCTGGAACTCAAACAAAAATCTGCTATCTTAGAAGCAATAGCAGCCAGAGGGAATTGGTAAGGGATCAAGGAAGAGTGGGGTGGGAGACAAAATCTCAAAGACCACCAGGATGAGAGGTGTTCACCACCTTAGACATCATCACGTGAAGGCAGGATGCCCTGTGGAGCCTCGATTGCCCAACAGAAGTTACTGTGTTGAGCAGAGGGTTTCCTGGTCAAAGTTTGGAGGAGGCCAAGCTAGGCAGTCTGAGTCTGAACCGTTTGCTCTGTGATAGCAGCTGTAGCTCTACTGAGTGGTAAATGAGTGAGTAATGGCAAGCTGGCAGAGCTGAGGCTGCAGTAAGAGAGACACATATCTTGATGGTTCAGGCATGCCCTGTGTCAGCCGTGAATTCTGCAGTTTGTGTTAATAAGTGGAGCATGCAAGTTGTCTGCTTGCCATAATGCAGGCGGCGGCCAGGCAGCATGTGAAAATGGATGTTGTGGGGGCACCAAAACAAGGAGCTGAACATACTATCTCGAAAGAAATCTCTACAGAAAGAAAAAGGGAGATACCATCCTGCGTGTCTGGGCTAGTGTGAATTCATCAGGCTTTGTGTTTGAATGGGATCCAGGTATAGTGTACAAGTAACTCCTGTTTGCTTTGCTTGACCTAAATCCAAGTTTTGCTTTGTCAGGTTCTGTCCGACGTGTGTTCTGTTTCCCTACTGCGTAGTAGCAGTGCTGGAGGCTGGGTGTTAGCATTGGCAATCTGATGATTCAATCACACAAGTATGAAGGCCATATTGTGGCAATAGGGAGGAAGTGAGGACATGTAACCTTACCATGTGTTTTGTGGTGGTCGAAAGTTTCAGTTCATGCTGAAAGAATTCTTACTTGCGAAGTTTCAAAAGGATTAAATGCAGACTGTCCTTGAATTCTAGACAGCAGTCAGGCACCACAAGCAACCTGCTTCTCTGCCAACAATGTGTTTGGGGATATAATGCCTTGTTCAGTTATTTATAAGTAGTCATTTTTTGGGATCGACACCTACCAGAGCCCGGCCCATCCGCTTCCACTGCCTCCCATTCCTTGGCAGCCATTCCTGCAGCAGGAATGCATAGGTGGCGAGAGCCCTCCAGCTGCCCTTCAGCTGTCCTCATCTTCAGTCTCTCTGGTTTGGGGGTCTTGATCTGTTTGAGACCCTGCCTTAAACAATCACGCTGCCATAAATGAGTAAGTTTCCATTGCTACGAGCCAGGAACTGTAGCAGATAGGAAGACTGCCAGCTCTTGGATACCCACCTCTGGTTGGGCCACAAGAGGAAGTCACCTTGGCACAGAGTCTGTGGAGACACCAAATCCCACTCACTTCTGATCATAGAATCACAAGGTTGGAAACGACGTATAAGATCATCCAGTCCAACCATCTCCTCATCACCACTGCCACCACAAGCACTAAACCATATCATGCAGCATGTTGTCCAGATGCCTCTTGAACACTGCCAGGGGTGGTGACTCAACCACCTCCCTGGGCAGCCATTCCAGTGCCTGACCACTCTCTGGGAGAAATAGTTCTTCCTTATGTCCAACCTAAAACGTTGATGTTCACAACAGGTTTGAACTAAGCAAAGTACTTTACCCATGGACAGTGCTGAGATGCTGGTCATCTCAGAAGAAGTGAGCTTGGCTGTGAAGGCAGAGTGTGATATAATTGGTTGTGAGATATGAAGAGAGAAATCAGGCAACTGAAATTGCATTTGGGTCCCAAATGTGGGTTGTGAGATTTTTTTCCAGGTGGTGAAGATGTTCAGTATGCTACATGTTTCAGAGATTGAGGCTTGAAACCTAACTAAACAAATAATGAAAATATAAAAATAAAATCAAATAAAGAAATGGAGTATTGTTGTTGTTTAACCTTGTTGGGCAGCTCAGCACCACGCAACTGCTCGCTCATTCTTGCCAGGCAGGATGGGGGAGAGAATTGGAAAGGTGAGCAAACCAAGGAATTCATTTACAGTTTCCCATTGGCAAGTGGGTGTTCAGCCACGTCAGGAAAGCATGGATGTATAGGACATCCCTTTGGCTAATCTGGGTCGGCTGTCCTGGCTACGTCCCCTCCTGACTCCTTGTGCCTCCCCAGCTCCTCACTGTAGGGCAGTGTAAGAAGTGGAGATGTCCTTGGCTATTTGTAGCACGGCTCAGCAACAACTAAAATGTCGGCATGTTATCACTACTATTAATAGAATCATGGGATAATAAAATGGCCTGGGTTGAAAAGGCCCACAATGATGATCCAGTTTCAACCCCCCTGCTATGTGCAGGGTCACCAACCGCTAGGCCAAGCTGCCCTGAGTCACATCCAGCCTGGCCTTGAATGCCATCAGGGATGGGGCATCCACAACCTCTCTATTTTCATTGCAAATCCAAACCACAGCATCATACAAGCCTCTACAAAGAATATTACCTTATCCCAGCCAAAGCATGACAAATATGAAATCCACAAACCAAAGACGAAAGGTCGCAACGCATAGCAGAGAAGGGAGAAAAGCAGCACTTTTGGTCTGATTAGGTTTAAAACACGCAATGTTCTCAAAAAGCAATGTTTTTGCTCCATTCCAAGTCAAGAAGTATAGACAGCAAAGTCTTAGTATGTGCTCCCCTTTGTGAATTGCACCACATAGATATACAAAGGTAGCCAAGCTCATATACCATGCGTGCAGGTATCACTACAGTATAGCAGTTAGAATTATTACCACTTGAAGAAGAACAAGGAAATATTCATCAGACCACCATGGAGAAAGGAGATGGGGGAAGAAGTGGCTGTATCTTGACAATCCCCTATCAAATGTTAGTTCTAAATAAAAGTTCATTCTGTTGTAGATTGTTAGATGCCAAATAACAAGCCAAAAACAAATCTTGAAAGAAAGAAAATAATTGCCCGTGATACCTGGATCAATATCTCAGTACACAGTGCTCCAGGCAGAGAGGGTGCACAACATCTTTAGATGTTTAACCACTTGTATGTGTTTCCATGGGGAGGTTAGGCTTCCAGTGATTGGTATCATTAGTATCATAGTCAGTATTTTTATCTTAGCAAGCCCAAGATGTATTGTGGTTTAGGCCCCAGAAGTTACCAACTCTACTGTGAGGGAACTAAGAGAAAAAATTCAAGTGCATTAGAAAATGTGGAGAGATTTTCCAAGGATCATTTATGAAGCATCTTCTTTGCTTGTTGGTTTCTACTGAGCACAAAGTAAGTCAATTTCAGAACAGTGGTGATTAAACTGGGTTAAGTTGATGTGATTATGCTGAATTATCCACGTCATGAAAAATTTCACTGAGAGGGAGGAAATGGCCACACAGATCCCAGCAAGGTCTGCTGAAAGATATGTAAGCTTGCTCCTCTCCTGGCAAAAGAGCTTAGTCCTACACAGGATTCGTCTGGATGCCTCAGACTCACTTTCAATTTTAGGATGAGAGTGAATAGCCTTAAGTTGCTCCAGGGGAGGTTCAAGCTGGATAGTAGGAAAAATTTCTTCTTGAAGGGAGCAGGGAGGCAGTGGCACAGGCTGCCCAGGGAAGTTGTGAAGTCACCGTCCTTGGAGGTGCTCATGAACTGTGTGGATGTGGCACTGAGGAACATGGGCAGTGGGCCCATGTGTGATGGGTGGTAGTTGGACTGGGTGATCTTAGATGTCTTTTCCAACTGTAATGATTCCCTGATTTGATGAATTATCTTCTTCTTGGAAATCAGTCGTCCCATCATTGCTCCCACTTGCATGGCTCACTCTGCATCCACGTTTGCTGGATTTTGGAAGCTTCCCTGAAGACACTGAGGCAAGCAAGCTTCCCTAACAAAGTCTGCAGTGATTCACCCAGAGTATCTGACTTACATGGGAAAGTTCTGTGTGATTTCTGCAATGGTCGGATGTATCTCTGAGTATCTCTGGAGTAGCACTTGGAGTGGATACATGCCCAGGCCACCTGCTCCCAAGCACAGCCCCAATTTAAGGCCACCATCCGCTTTGTAATCCTACCACATAGAATTTGAAAGCATTTAGGAACTGTGGCAATCACTAAGAAAGAAATTGCATTTTATTGTGGGGACCAGGGCTTCCTGCTGGCCAGCAGCCAGGAGCTGGCTTCATCTCTGAGTGCTCCCTGGGCATTCTGCTCTGCTGCCCCACTCCATGGAGGTGGTGCAGCAGATACCCTGCCACAGACCTCTCTGTGTACCCTTTGCCTCTCCTCAGTGCTACCAGAGTATTGCCCCGGGGAGCCTGGACTGAGGCATGTGCTTGTGTGTGTGCGAGCACGTGCGTGTGCGTGTGCCTGTGCACACACAGCTGTGTTTGTTTTCTGCTGTATATAGGAGAAAACAAGATTATTTATGTTCTAATAACTGTGTGTTCCCTGTATGAACTATTTTCTGCTCTGATTTATTGTTCTCTCTCGGCCTGCCCTCAAGCATTGTTCTTATATTTGGAGCCGGTCACACTTTTTTCCATCTGCAAATGGAAATCTTAAATGGCGTATTAAATAACAATTAAAAAACAAAACAAAACAAAAACCCAACAAACCAACAAAGAAGATTTGGAGGAAGGAGGAGTTTCATTCCTCTGTTTTCCCATTATTTTTTTCCTCTCGTCTTTCCTTTTACGCTTTCTCCCACCCACCCTTTTGCCCATTTTTTTCTCTGAAAGGAAGGAGCTTTTCTCCCTTATGCTTCTCTGGAGTTTTGACTCAATCTCAGACAAGTTTTCGTGCAGTCTGGGTAAAAATTCTTCTAAAGTCTTGTCTTTAAATCTTTCTCCTTTACTGAGTGTTTTAAATTCTCCTCACTAGCTCATAGTCTCATTCTTTTTTGAGGCGTGAAATCCCCCCAGCTCTATTGCCTACACAGCAAAAGGAACACGAACAAGGCAAGAGACTGTAAAGAAAAAAACAAGAGAGAATAACAAAAATTTGGCTAAGAAAAATGAATCATCCAGCATTATGCCACAAGAAAACAAAATCCAGAATGTATGTATTTCTTCCTTTCTTATGGGTCATATCTATCAAGCAGGATAAAATCTCGTGCTATTGTATTTGTTCTCTAAACTTGAGGCACAAACTGCTTTGTATGTAGCCTCCAGGGATGTTGTCACCACACAAATGCTGTCATTAAAGTGTTGGTAGGAGGTCCCTTAGGAAATGCCAGGGCTGGAGGGTCTTTTTAGGAAAAGCAACTAATGCACAAGTCTGGAAGAACAGCTGGGTGCTCGTAAATTAGGAGTCTTTAGGAGGTCTACCACACATCACTGTAAAACTGCAAGCTTGCTAGAGTTTCTTGAGTTCATTGCTCTAGATACGCTCCATGTCCCCCAGCTTTTCTATCTGCTTCATGCTAAGCCTTTCTGTGGCTGTAAGCCTCTGCCAGTTAACTCCCCAATGTCTCAGTGCTTCTCTGTCTCTCCTTTCAGTTCTCTTGGTTTCTTGATACTGTTTTGATCCCATACCTCAGCTGCTCAAGAGGAAAGAAAAGCGGCTTAGAGGATTCCTCCCCTCTTCCATCAGCTGCCCCTCATTAAGAAAAAATGCGTATCCAGATGTGAAACTAGAACCAAGCCTCCTGGAGTTCAAGGAGCATTTGGACACCACTCTCAGATACAGGCTTTGGAATTTGGGTGGTGCTGTGTGGAGCCAGGAATTGGACTCAGTGATCATTATGGGACCCTTCCAACTTGGGATATTCGGTGGTTCTGTGATTCTATGAAAAAAATAACTATAAATTATTAACTCTGCAATACCTTCAGTGTTAAGGCTAAAAGAAAGACTAAAACTGAAATAATGTGAAAGTCTTGTTCTGCCCATTGTTCCAGAACAGTGAATGCCGAGGTTTTCTGATCCTGAAAAATCAGGTGCTTTTGGGTAGAAGCCTCTAGAGGTCACCAGCACATAATCAATAAGGCAGAGCTAAGCACAGATACGGAGTGTAAATTGCTTTGTTTCGATGGAGACTTTAAACCTCTCTGTGTCCCCTCTCACAAAGAATCCAGACATCATTAAATAGCAAATAACATCAGGTGCCAGAAAAACCATAACCTCCTGGACAAACTTCACTGTATAGAAGTCAGGTCCCTTTGGTGTAGGAAAGCAGTCACCACATGGACATCTCCTGTCAGACTCTCACCTGCACACTTCTGTAAACAAAACCTGCCCTGGAGTCTGGGCTCTCTCGTGCCCCAAATCTGTAAGCCCAGTAAATGCTGTGAGTGTCACCAAACCATGAAGTATGCCAGTTCTTTCCCTAGCACTGGTGCAGGAAAGCAGTGACTCAGAACAGAGCACAGGCTGCACGTGCACATTAAATAATTGGTAAAGACTTTTCTACTTTTCTTTTTGCCTTGTGAGTTATTATCTGAAGAGGCAGAAATCCCCTTAAAGAGTAAAGTTGCCTTCCAGGTCACTTATTTCTACAGAGAAGGTTTAGAGAGAAGCTACAATTTAATTATGATTAAAAGGTTGCCATGAGGCCAGAGGCCTCATCTACTTCACGTAACAGCAGAAGGAAAAGCTCAAGTAATTTTCCTGAGCCCTCTCCACGGTTTAGGAATGAAGCAGGCTGCAGAGGAGGGAGCTGGGGACAGCTGAGGAGAATATTTATTACAAGACAGCAAACAGAACCCACTCCTTTCTGGAGAAGCTCCTCTGGAAAGAGCAAAGGTGTTTATTTTGGGGCAGACACTGGAAGGGAGGCCTGTGGTGTTTCTTGCACAGGCTTTTTTTTCTCCTCTGAAAAGGCAGAAGAGTTGAACATAGCCAAGTAACCTGTGCCTTGTGGGGTCACTACAGGCAGTGTAGGGGCACAGAGCTCCTTTGCTGTCAGATACGGGGTATTGCTAACCCAGGGCAGGGAAATTTTTCTGAATATGCAGCAGGAAGCAAGAAGTTGCCCCTTCAACAGACTGTGCAGCCACTTCCATATTCCTCCATGGTCCTGCCTTGGCTCAGTGGCAGCAGGTGCTTTGCACCCCTTGTGTCCTGCTCTGGGAGTAGTGCAGTAATAGGATCGCCCTGAGCATGCTTGCTGAGATTAGCACACGTTATTTTTGCAGGCTGGAACTGTGATGCTGCAGCCTGTTTGGAGTCTATGTGTCGGTTCCTAATCCCAGGCAAAGCCCTACAGAGGGCAGCAAGGCCACAAACAGAGGAATGTACCCACCTGAAAGAGATCAGGGTTATTTTCATTGGGGCACATCAATCTCAGAGAGGAAACGTTTATAAGAGTCTTACAGCCATCCCTTATGTTCCTGCTTTTCACTTGAGAAAGATGCACAAATTAATTAGGGGCTTCTCTTCTTCTCAGTTCTCTTTTCAAAGCGGGGTCCCACAGAACATTTGCTTCTCCTTCCTCCTCTCCAAACAGCAGTCTCATCAGAACTTCTCCCTGGCTGCCATCTGTAACAAACAGAACACCACACCTTTTGCTATTTACAGTGCAATTAACCTTTAGCAAATTAACCTGTGACCATCATGAAAGGATTAAGGCAACACACCTTTCACTTGTTCCCTCTGTGCAAGTGGTGCACTGCATTTGCAGGATCAGGGCTGTATTTTTTTGTCGTCTGTACTGGCAAACTGGCCAGCAACAGGGAGATACACATTGAGAGGCTCTGAGAGACACGATCCAATGGAAGCAGCCCTGGCCTTCCTCAATGTGTTTGTGTTTCCCCTCTGCTGAGTGGTAATGAATGGTAGCAAGAATGTGGGGCCATGCCCTGGCCACCTCAGCTTCATCTTGTAGCTTATACAGCCAAAGAAGGAAGTGGCTGCCAAAATATCAGGCTGTGATGCACAGCAGCAGTGGTCAGGACACACAGCCTATCGTGCCTAGCACTGTCAGATCAGACCCAGATTTCTGTGTGTGCATCCAGGAGGAATAATGCATACTCAAGGAGGCCAAAGCTTTCTGGAAAGCCTTAGACTTCTGGCCCTCGCGTAGCCAAGTGGATCTGTGCAGATGTAGTGGACATGCCTGGGTTATCTGGACAGCTTCCCTCTTGCTGCCTGGCCTCTGGGAGCAATCAGGCAAATGAGCAAGTTCCTCAAATTCCAACACAGAGCTCTGATAGAAAAAGAAGCCTTCTCCAGGGGAATCCTGCCTCTGCTCCTCTTCCCACACAGCTGTAACTCCTGGCAGAGAGGCAAGCAGTAAAGACAGTAATGTCTTCAGCCAATGCAGCTGCAACTGCCAGAGTTAATGTCCAATGCTCGAAAACCTCAGGACTCAAAGCTACAGCAGAGAATGACCACAGAACAGTGGCACTCAGACTGGCAGGTAATGTTTAGTTCACATGATCAGCAGCTTTTTGTCTTATACTATTCTTCCAACATAGGATTGTTCCACTTTGATGTTCCACTCATGCGGCAAAGTCACCAACAACGAGACAATTTCAGCCCAGGGAATAGGATTTTGGGAAACAGCTTCTCTTCAAACCACAGCACCTCCACCTCCTCTGTGTCCTAAAACTTCAGCAGAACAGTAATTGTTGGTAGGCACTTCTGTTTCTTCAGCACCAAGATTCAGATGGTATCACAGAGCAATATTCTTCGGACAAACCCTGGACAATTCCTTTGCTTGCAATCTGATGTAAACTACTTCTTTATGCTTCTTCAGATGTGTGAGCATTTGAAGTTATTACAAGTTAAACAACATATTTAACCTTATTGTGAGTTCAGCCCAAGCGTGGCTGGGTCAGGGAACACAATTCTGTCATTCCTTGATGATCAAGTGTTTACCTAAGATGTCTTTTACACCAGGAGAATGGTTTGGACTAGAGAGGGATGGCAACTGTGGGCATGCAGCGTGCTCTGACCAGGCAGAAACACAGCCTGAGGGGCTGCAGGGAAATAAATGAGTAACAACAGTTTATCACCGCTGAAAGGAAAGGCTCAAACAGCATCTTTTGAGGCAGTGAGCTCCCAGCTCTTCACACTGTCATGGTACAGACATTTGTATCCATGTTCAGAATAGCCAAATAGCTGGTGGGGAGGAACAAGGGACTGGTCTGCTTTCAGACTCACCCTCCATGTTACAGCACTGTCTGAGCAGCGAGGTGTCCGACCAAGCCCATGATATAATTGAAGGTTGCAATTTCCTGGTGATAGCACTGCAAGACTACACTATGAATTACATAACAATGAAATGAATACGAAGTATAGTTGATACTGGACAATAAAATGAATGAGTGTAGTAAATAATTACACAACCGTGTATTTTCTTGTGTAATTGATGACCAACTCCTTAATTTGCTGCACAGAAATGAAAGAGGAGTGACCAAGGTAACCTGCTGCTGATAATATGGGTATTATTTGGAAATTCGGGTTGTTCTTTAGGGCTTTGATTCTTGACCAATTCAGTAGCAAAAAGCTACTGAACAACGCATCTAAAGCCAACAGGAACCATAAATCAAAGTGTCAAGTTGTGCACACCGTATGAGTCAGTATGTTTGTGGCAGTATGTCAAGTTGTGATACGTCATACAGGGCTTCAGGGAGCAAGCACATCATCTGCTTGCAGGGGTCACCACACCCCTGCAAGAGCATCCATAGCCCCTGCAGCTAAGTCATAGACGTAGAACCACACAATCATGGACCCCTAGGATCATCCAGTCCAACCAGCGGCCCATCACACCGTGCCCACTGCCCACGTCCCTCAGTGCCACATCCACGCGGTTCATGAACACCTCCAGGATGGTGACTGTACCAACTCCATGGGCAGCCTGTGCCACTGCCTCACTGCTCTTCCTGAGAAGAAATGTTCCCTAACAGCCACCCTGCTCCCATAGGAACAGTGGCTCGGAGCCCTCAGCACTCAGACGTTCTGCCCGTTACGAGGGATGGCCATGCTGGTGGGAAGGCTTAGCTGCTACATTGGTGCTTAGAGTCAGTTCAAAGCCAGGGGAGCAATCGCTTACTTAAGCCTACAGCAGTGAGCTTTTTATTAATTCACAAAGAGCCAACCAGTAACAAAACAGACTCCTAAGCTCCGCTATCACACAGCGGAGCGTACAGCCACGCAGCCACCGCCCCGCCCCGCCGGCGCCGCTGCCCGCATAACCTCACAGCCGGAAGGGGGGGGGGGGGAAAGCATGCGCGTGAGCAGCTCCGCGCGCTCGGTTGCCAGGAAGTGACGTCACACCAGCGCGACCAGCAGCTGCCCTCGGCGCGCCGGAAGGGCCTTGGCGCCGCGGTGACGTCTGCGTTTCCTTCTTTCCCAGCGAGGCCGCAGCGCAGGTAGGTGCTGTTCCGCCGCGTTCCCCTATCCGCCGCCATCCGCGCTTTGGCCGCGGCGGAGCCGGCGCTTCTGCCTGTCCGTGCGCTTCCCCCCCTATCATCTCTCTATTCCGGGGAGGGACGGGGGGGAAGGACGGCTTCGCCGTCGCCGGCGGTAACGGCCAGTGTGGCCCCGCTGTCTCTTCCCGCAGAGCGCCATGGGCCGCGTCATCCGGGGCCAGAGGAAGGGTGCGGGCTCCGTCTTCCGCGCCCACGTGAAGCACAGGAAGGGCCCTGCCAAGCTCCGCGCCGTCGACTTCGCCGAGAGGCACGGCTACATCAAGGGCATCGTGAAGGTAAGAGGGGAAAGGGGTTCTGGGGCTTCTGCAGTGAGCAGTGGGCCCCAAAGCCTGCGATCCCGAAACCTCACCTGTCTGAAGGGACTGAAGTGCTGTTGGTTGTTCTCAGAACTGACTCCTGTAGGCTGCTGATGTCTTTTGGAATCGATTCTGTCACTTAGGAGATGTCTGTAATGCAAGAAACGGGAATGAGGGGAGTTGTGTTGTGCTGATAGTAGAATGCACTTTAAAGAAAGGACCTTTGTATGTACAGCCCACTGGGACAAGGTGGTGCCTTTTGTTTGGGCTGTGATGATACTTAAAGGTGGAGTGCTGCACATACTGGTCAGTTGTCAATGATGAAGGCTCTGATCAGCAGCATGGTGCCCATGCCCAGTTGGGCGCCCCAAAAATGCAACCACCTCCTCACCCCTTCAGAGGAAGATCATCTTCAGAGCACAGAAGGAGATGCTTTGACATTTAAAGAATTGAGTTTGACGAGAAAAAATTGGAAGTTTAGAAACACTTACAAACTTGAGTTACTGTTCTGTGATAGAGGTAGGTGAGGTGGTGTTCTTACACATGAATTTATTTTCAACTTCTGGAAAAATCAAGATTCCCTTAAAAAGGGGGGCTCAAAGTGAAAATTACTTTAAGAGTAATCATCTTCAGTTTTTGTAATCCTTGGATTTTTGCTGAACCTGTGACAAATTCTGTATCCTGTTCCAAAGCATGTCTTTGTTCCCACAGGATATAATCCATGATCCTGGTCGAGGTGCTCCCCTTGCCAAGATAGCATTCCGTGACCCGTACAGGTTTAAGAAAAGGACCGAGCTGTTCATTGCTGCTGAGGGTATCCATACCGGTCAGTTTGTTTACTGTGGCAAGAAAGGTGAGTGAAGACTAAACTTGGGTAGCCTGACAGATTTCAGGAGGCTTAAAGCAGCTGTTGTCTGAATACACAGTATGGGATGCTGAGGTGCTGCTGGGAGCCTTTACAAAGGCTGTAGCTTTACTTACCATAAGCAGGCATTGTTTCCTTCTGGGAGATGGAAGTCTCCTCATGCAGCCTGTTTCAGCAGGCCTGACTGCAGTGCTCTCAAGTGTTATTGTTTTAACTATACAGGCAGCTCTTGCCTGCCTTTATTCCACAGTGGATGTTGAAACTTGGGTTGCAACTCAAATAAGCCCCCCTACCTATTGGTATGCATATGCATGTATGCAGTGCCCTTCTGTGCACAGGGAGCCTTGTTAAATAGAGTTGTGGCTGGAGTAATATCTGGGAGCCTGACTGAAGCAGCTGGTGCTCTGTGATTGCTCTTTGCAGCTCAGCTGAACATTGGCAATGTCCTGCCTGTTGGCACCATGCCGGAAGGCACCATCGTGTGCTGCCTGGAGGAGAAACCTGGTGATCGTGGAAAGCTGGCCCGTGCTTCTGGCAACTATGCTACCGTTATCTCTCACAACCCGGAAACAAAGAAAACCAGAGTGAAGCTGCCCTCTGGCTCCAAGAAAGTGATTTCTTCTGCAAACAGAGCTGTTGTCGGTAAGCAGGGATAACTAGGAGCTTGTCTTTAGCTGAGCTGATGTGCTGCTCAGCAAGTTGTCAAAACAGGCCCTGTTTCCAACACTAGCTAGAGAGCAATGTGATTTAGAGGTGTATTTGTCTAGATGCAGTTACTTGGATATGGTCTTTAGACAGATGTCTAACTTGTGTGGTATACCTGCTTTACTTTTGGTAATGGAACTTGTTGGATTTGGGGATGCTTTGAGCTAGTGGGAGAGCAGAAAATAAGTGCTGTTTGCCCTCAAGTGATTAAAGAATTGCTGAGCTTGTAAAATCTGCAGATGGTGAAAAGTTAGGGGAAAAAAAAAAAACAACAATTAACAGATGGTTTAGTGCTGAAGCTGCTATGGATGTCATCAGTTAAAATGAAATTGAAAGCCTAACAATGAACAGCAGTACCATTATCGACATCAAAGTTCAGCCTATGGTCTCTTCACCTGACAGAGCTCTTAGTGTGCAGTTGGCTGGATAACTTGATCCTGTGTGTGGTGGCTGGAAAACACTGGTTCAGACAGACAGTTTGGATTATTTGAGGGTGGTCTCTGTAAGCTTGTTCTTAAGATTGAATATTTGTTAGGAGTTGGTTTTGTTTTCAGGCATTTTCTCCCACATCTTGCCTGTTGCACCTGCACATCACTGTTGCTGTGGTATCTTTCAGGAATCGTTGCTGGTGGAGGTCGTATCGACAAGCCCATCCTAAAGGCTGGCCGTGCCTACCATAAATACAAGGCGAAGAGAAACTGCTGGCCGCGTGTCCGTGGTGTGGCCATGAATGTGAGTCTTCACTTTGCTTTTTTATGGCTTAAAAAGGATTTGCTTGGCAAGGTGGGGACGTGGCATAGCACAGGGCAGGCTGCCAGATGTCTTTTTAATTAGGGTAGCTGTATGTGCTTGGTAGTTACTGCGCTGTGTCACAAATGAAGCAGTTGAAGTTCTTGTTCCCTCAAATCAGTTTATTGCTGCTAAATGATAGCTTTGTTGTACGGATTACTTGACTTCTACTTCCTTTTCCACAGCCTGTAGAACATCCCTTTGGTGGTGGTAACCATCAGCACATCGGCAAGCCTTCAACCATCAGGAGAGATGCTCCTGCTGGGCGCAAAGTTGGTCTCATTGCTGCTCGTCGTACGGGCAGACTGCGTGGAACAAAGACTGTGCAGGAAAAGGAGAACTGAAGACCCAGTATGGAGCTTAAAGAATAAATTTTTAAAACCTAGCTTGTGTGATGTTCAAGTTATCTGTTGTTCAAGTGCTGCTGAAAACGGGGCTGAAGTTCAGAGGAAGGTTTGAATGGGCATGAGGTAGTTTTCTCCACACCACCCTAACCCCTAAAAAAGCAGGTCAGGGATTCTTTCAGCCATTGCTTTCACTCTGTAAGCAGAGTTAGAGCCTGGAATGATAGGCTGCGTAGGTGCTCTCCTGTCTGTATGTTCAAGGGGATTGTCATATTGACACTAGCCTAGGTACGTGGCTGTATATGTGCCTGACAAAGCTTTTCTAACCAATCAAGAAATCCTTTAAGCACTCAGTTCAATCCGTCCATCTTGCCAAAGTCATTAAAAGGCACTGATTTTTCTGAGTTCAGTGGACTCCAGCATTGTTTTCGGTCTCATAAGAAAAGGTGTTCTCTTATGAAAGGGCAGCTTTGATTTTTTTATTGTGGGGGAGAGGTTCAGGGGCAAGAAATGAGGTAGATAGAAGTTGTTACTGCAAAATAGTTGAATCTCAAGGCTTTACTCATTTGGCCTTTGGAAAAGTAAAGCTGTCAACGTACCTGAGACTGAGGTTCTCAAACAAATTTCCAGTCCTGTTTTGCTACCTTGGCATTGTGTCCAGGCTGGTACGGACTTGCTTGCAGACTTTCACACTTTTTCTCTCTGTCAGTAACAGCTCTTCTATAGCTGGACCGGGTCCCAGAACAGGTGCCAGTTCCTCTAAGCCAGGTGCTCCTGGAACAAGGTGCTGATGATCCTTTGAAAGATATGACAGACAGAGTCAAAAAAACATTTCATCAAGAATCTTTCCCTTTGAGTGTAGAGCATTTCGCATACAGCAGTCAGAGTTATTCCACTGGTCCTGAAATAAGAGAGCCAGACCTCAAGGAATGGAAAGCGAGGAGTATTTTTGATTTCCACCAACAAATGCTGTCTCCCAGACAATCATAAGAAAAGAGAACAGTTTTCAGTGTTCCGAAGACTAACATGGCAAGATACAAGTTAAGAATTAAGCTTCAGAATCTGCAAGTACGCTGAAAGCTTGCTTGCATGAGAGATTCTGATAAGGCTGTTGGTTTAAAGAACTGGTGGCACCATTTGCATTAAATACACCCAAATGTGCCTCAGAATCCATGGTTTCCAGCCATGTTTGGATTTGTTGTCCCCATGTTTTCTGGGGAAGGTTGGTTTCTCCCTTTTTGTCTACTGTCAGATGTTCACAGCCAACAGGTGGAAAAATGGGGCAATAAAATAAGGTACAAGAAAACTGCACACATAAATACTGTTGCTGAAGGCAGCTACAGCTATGTTTAATGCTGACACACAGGATGCAATGCTAAATTTCACTTTAAATTCACACGTTTGAGGGGTCTGTAGACTCGATTCCATTCTCTTAACGAACTGAGGAACAATTGCCCTTACTGCATGCAGTGAGGTTGGCCTTATGTCTCCAAATTGTAGCAAACTTCCTTAATACAGAGGCCTCAGCATGTACACAACACGTTCTAACTTGTGCTTTGGCAGGACGCCTGGAAACAAAAGCCAGGGTTGTGAAACATCCCCGGGTATTGATTTCACACATTGCCCCATGATGGAGTCAAACAG